TATGCTGGTCGTCCCCTCCTTAGACTTTTTATATAAGAAAAGGTAATTGATAGATAGTCACTAACCTTTTTAATAGCTGATAATTTAATTCTTATTCTTTTAATTTTAATAAAATAATCATTAACGTCATTAAATTAGTACAATTAAGTCTTTTTCATTTAAATCCGTAAAAAATTTAACAGAAAAAACCATGTCCAATGCATGTGATCTAATACAACAGGGTATTTAGTAATAACATAATCTTAAACTTGAAATTAAATGAAAATTACTGAAAAAAAAGCAATTGCTAATAAAACCCAGAAAGCTAACCGAAACAAAGCCCAAAAAAGCAAACGTTGCTGGACGACCAAAAGTCGAAGCTCTCCTGCCATGGCGACAACGGTGCCGTGATTTCTCCCTTTCGTGATTCCGGCATCGCGCTGAGCTTCCCTTTGCGACGTTTCCATAAGAAGCTATGGAGAGTCGCGCCATCGTGAGTAGCAAATCTCAAGATCCCGATGGAACCGTATCTGATTTTGAGATCTTGCCGGCGGCGCCTGGTGAGAGATCTAGTTGGGATCTTTTATTCTCGTCTCTCTCTCTCTCCCGATGGAACCAGATCTGATTTTGAGATCTTGCCGGCGGCGCCTCGTGAGAGATCCAGTAAGGATCTTCTCTTCTCGACTCTCTCTCTCTCCCTCCTTCTCTTTCTTTCACTTCCGTTGTCGGAGAAGAAGACCGGAGCCGCTGGATCACACCGGCGCGAACAAATCCGGGCAGATGGGTAAAAGTCGATTGTATCCACAATAAAATGAGATCAAGTCCTTGTGATGGGCACATTAGGTATCATTTGAAGGAAAAAAAACACTGTTTAGAAATGAATTTCTTCCCCATTGCCTTACACCCACGACGGAGGGAAATCCAAATATGGTATTATAATAAATTCATTTATTTCAATGATTCGAGTTTAAAATTTGAGTTTTATTATAATAAAAATTTTTAGAAATAATCATATTTAATTTTTTTATTATAATAAAATTTTTTACATAAAATTACATCTCAACTAAAATTAAAAATTCAAATTAACGAACTAAACGAGGCCGCAATCTCTTTTTTTAATATAATTTTTGGGTTCTGATAACCAGGTATGTAAGGGTATAATCGGCGATTTGACAGCAAAAGCAATAAAAAATCCAATATAGAATAACATTTTGAGTGCTACAAGATACGATTGATTAGCTAATGTTTCAAAATTTAATGTTATAAATTTGACAGATGTAAACAGAAAGAATTTAATTGTACCAATTTAATAAGATTAAGAGATCATTTTATTAAAATTTAAAAATAAAAATTAAATTGTCACTTATTAAAAAATTAAAAATTATTTATGTCAATTATCCTATAAAAAATAAAATAAAATAAAAAACCCAAACAAAATGGATAGCATAAGCTAACATAGGTGTTGAAATATTGAAAACCCTTTTAACCAACATTGTTTAAAAAGTAGTCAAACCGGTTTGCGAAGTCCAACTAATTGTCATTTTTTTACTGCCAACTTCTTCAAGCAAGAAATTCCTTGGTGGGGTTTACCAAGTACCAACCAATAGGCTGTAAGTACATTGGACGCTTCTGTTTGTCACCTACGATTCTCACAAGCTTTCAAAAGTTATGCCCCTAATCCTATAATTGAAAACAAGATTTACATCATTTTCCTTTGTATGAATCTATGATCTGTATACTGAATTATCTTTTGCTAATAATAGCACATGATGTGTATTATTTACTCTAAAACTTTATCACTAACTGCCTAGGATACTAATATGATCTTCTTGAGGGCTTTTCAACTTGGCGTCATATTCAAATACCCCTTATTCTAATATGCAGCAACTGAATCTAGCAAGAGTTTTTTTTTTTTTTTTTGACCATTTCCATTAACAAAAATGGGAAGGATAAAGTTAAATAACTTCCGCATTATTAGAAACTGGGCAAATAGTGGACAACTACAGAAGTAGCTTTCTTATACTTGTTTGAATAATCTGCCAAAAAAAAAAAAAAATGGCTTGCCTCTTTTCTGGAAAAGAGAGGACAATATTCACTATTCGGGTTGTTGTTTTTTGAGCATAAAAGGAGTGGTCTTGTTATAACCAATTCAAGATCCAGTCTATTGGGAACAATATTGGCTTGCGAATGAGGCAACAAAAAGTTTTTCTTTGTAGACGAATAAATATAGGCGGCAAAAGGTCAAGTTTTTGAGCAGGGGCTTTTGCCTACACTGCAAAGGCTATGAAACCATAAAGAACAGCCCTTAATTTGAAATTTATTGCCTTTGCGCCAACCGGGGTTCAAAAACATAATAACAAAATACTAAATAGATGTTTGATTCATGAATTCAGAATCATGATTCAGAATTATTCTCAATTTACGTGTATTTTTTATGAAAAAAAATAATGTAACGAACTACGAATCATGATTTGAATTAGGGTTTGTTTGTTTCACGCATTTGAACTTATAATTCTGATTATGCTAAAATACCCTTTTTGAACACAAAATTTGAATTAAAAAACTTCCTACCAATGGTTCTCTCAAAAAATTTAGTTTCACAATCAAATTTATTGACTTAAGCACGTGAACTAAACATGCTGTGAATATTACTTTTGATATGTATTTTTGGGTAATCTTGACAGATAGCTCTTAAAAGTGCACAAGTCATAATTTTTACCTTTTACTCTTGATTCATAACCTTTTTAGTCAAATAATTACCCTAATAAAAGAATATTTATTAAGAGTAATGAGTAAAAGTCCGAACTCATGTACTCTTAAAAGTAAATTCTCTATTTTTTTGTATTTTTTTAAACTGCTTTGATATGCATTTTCTCCTTTTAAGAAAAAAAAAATATATATATATTTTTCTGATAGGATAAAAAAAGCTTATCCTAGTATAATATAATTCTCATATTATTCTCTAATATAATATGGCTATAGTTTTAAATTGTTAAATTTTTGTCAAATATTATCTTAATATTATGGGCTTGTTCTTTTAGAATTTAACTTAAGTATAATTCTTGAGTTGAATTTGAGTTATAACTTGAGTTGAACTTGTAACTTGAGTTTGTGTTTGGTTATGTACATTTGAGTTATGGTTTGAGATAAGAATCTTTCTGAGTTTGTGTTTGAGTGAGTCAAAACTTGAATTTGTATTTAGATAGTATTTTAATAAAAACTCAATGTTGATGAAAAATTTTAATAGGGTATATGGGTTGGGTTTTATTCGTCTTTTTGTTGTCAACGCATAGAAAAAAAATCATCTCAATCAGAATTAAAATGAAAAAGATAGCATTTTTAAGAATAAAAAAAATACTGTTCATTAATTTGAGTTCGAGTTTCTGAACTCGAGTTGAAGGGGAAACTTGAATTCGAGTTTTAGTCCTAAACTCGAGTTTGAACTCAACATGAACTCAAATAAAATTATAACTTGAGTTGCATTTTTTTGAGTTTTTCACTCAAAAGAACAAGCCATATATAATTAAATCTTATCCTAACAATTCAAACCTCAGTAATTTTTTATTTTAAGGAGACAATATCATATTTTATTTTTTTCTCTCTGATGGTCATAATTTATTTTATAGTTAATTCCACCAATACTCTTTAAAATTTACCTTCATTTCTATTTTAGTTTGCGACTTTTAAAACGTCATTTAATTAGTCTCTACAATGTTATTTTGTTTTAATTTTAGTCATTTTATTAACTAGGTGTTAAATATTTGTTGAAATATGTGAACATTATGGATCAAAATTGGTAATATAAGTGATGTTTGATATATAGATTTTGTTACAGTACAAACCCAAAATTTTAGTACTGCTACAATATTTTTCTTTCATAAAAATTTAAAAAATCATAATTAAAAACTCTAATTTAAACTCATATACTAAACAAGCCTATAAAATTTAGAGATTAAAATAATACAAAGATAAAAATTTAATTTTACGTAAATAATATTTAAAATTTAGTTATTTCTAATTTTGATATTTAATTTACACTAATTTTATTAAATATTTAGGGTCTGTTTAGTTCGTTAATTTGAGTTTTTAATTCGAGTTGAGATGTGACTTTATGTGAGAGCTTTTTACTGTAGTAAAAAAGTTAGATGTGATTGTTTCTGAGAACTTTTTACTGTAGCAAAACTCAAATTCTAAACTCGAATCGGTGAAATGAACGGGGCCTTAATATCTAATCGATAGAAGAGCTGAATTTGAAAAAGAACAAAATCCGATCTCGTTCATTTCATCAATTTAAGTTTAAAATTTAAATTTTGTTATAGTAAAAAACTATAAAAAACAGTCATATTTAACTTTTTTGTTACAGGAAAAAGCTCTCACATAAAATCACATATCAACTTGAATTAAAAACTCGAATTAGCGAACTAAACTGACCCATGTGAAACATTTTTAAAATCAATGTCCGTTTAGTTCGTTGATTCGAGTTTTTAATTTAAGCTGAGATGTAACTTTATGTGAGAACTTTTTACTGTAATAAAAAAGTTAAATATGACTATTTTTAAGAGCTTACGAGACCTTAGTGATCAAATAAAATAAGAGATAAACCTCTGATCATTCATGAGATTAATCTTTTATTTAATTTTTTTTTGAATATTCTTTTATTTAATTTTAGACCTCATTTATTTTATTAATTTAAGTTTTTAATTTTAAATTTTTATTATAAAAAACTCTAAAAAATATTACATCTAATTTTTTTTATTATAATAAAAAATTTTAAAAAAATATTATATTTTAACTCAAATTAAAAATTTAAATTTATAAAGGTAACACCTAATTTACAAAGTTCTACGCAAACTCAATAGAGCACTTTTTCTTCTCTTTTTTTTTTCTAGTGACGAGGAAACTGACACTCATCACGTGCTCCTCTCAGCTCGTCTTAATCCACGCGCCATTTCTCTCTCTCTCTCAGTAATTAATTCATGTTCAGTTTCAAAAAGTCCTTCCTTTTGCTTTTGTTGTTTTCCGCTTCCTCTGAATCTCTTTGCCACTCGGAAATAGTACTTCCCTCATGATACCATCTCTCCCTCTTTAAAGCCTTCTCGCTTTGTTTTTTCTTTCATTTCACTCTCCAGATCTCCCTCTTCAGCCCAAGGTACTGAAAATACTTTGGGCCCGTTCACTTTGCTGATTCGAGTTTAAAATTCGAGTTGAGATGTGATTTTATGTGAGAGCTTTTTACTGTAGCAAAAAGTTAGATGTGATTGTTTGTGAGAGCTTTTTACTGTAGAAAAACTCGAATTCTAAACTCGAATCAGCGAAGTGAACGAGCCCTTTCTTTTTTTCTTTTCTCTTTAATGGGTTTTTATTTTATTTTTTCTTTTTGGGTTGTGTTTCTCTCTTCTTTGTTAGAGGTTTGGTGTGTTTCTCTGAGCTTCATTCCCGTTTTTTTTTTTTGGTTGTTGATTTCTCGTGGTGCAGTTTTGTGTAGCTCAACATTTGTTGTAGAAGAAAAAAATCGTCATTTGCCTTAAAGTTGTCTCCTTTTTTAGTTTTAGCATTTATAATTGCCAATTCTCTAAATATACATTTTCATTTTCCTCATTTTAATACCTTCAAGGTTGGTGTCTTTTTTTTTGGGTTTTCTGAAATTTACCAAAAATGAAAACTTTAATAATCTATCATAGCACATTATACATGCCTTTGCGTGCTGTGATGAGTTTTTCTTTACCCTTTTGTTTTGCGCTCTCTTTTGGGTTTTTTCTTCTGAACCATTTTTGTTCAGTTTTGTTGGGTATATATGTATATATATATATATATATATTTTTTTTTTTTGGCCTATTATTTATGTTTTGTGGGCTTGAATGAAAGATTTTTGTTGGGTTTTTTTTTTCACATTTTTGTTCTCCTTTGGTTTCTTTAGCAGGAAATGGGTGTCATATCCAGAAAGATATTCCCAGCATGTGGGAGCATGTGCGTATGTTGCCCTGCTTTGAGGTCCAGCTCTCGAAAACCGGTCAAGCGCTACAAAAAACTGCTTGCGGAAATTTTCCCTAAATCTCTTGTGAGTATTTTAACTTACATTTCCAATTTAGTCACATCATGTTTCATAGACATTTTGTTGGAATTGATTCTGCATCGTTTATTCTGTTTTTATGGCTATTTTGTTGCAATCTAACCCCTTTGTTGTTGATAATCCACCCTTGGTTATGTTAGACATTCGTGTTTTAAGTCGTACTTTTTGATCCTCTTTTTGGGATCTCGGAAGGTGTAAAAGGATTGTTATATTATTAAGATGTTTATATAGCTGAGAATTACTTGGTATGGTGAGGGGGAAAACAAAATTCTATTAGTAGGACACAGTTATGAACCATCAAGTTTTCAATGTTGTATTTTTCATTAAGTTCCGATAAATTGTTGTTCTTATTTTAGTTTGATATGATTTTGACGTGATTTAAAAACTATGCTTGTTAGGGCTTTTTTTTTACCCCATCACAGAATTCTCTTTACTTAAGGTGGGAATTTTAAAGCATTTACTCAGGTTCCTTCATCAATGAAAGGAAATGTCTGAAACCACGCTTGGCGGTATCCATTTATAAAATAATGGTGTTTTTATGTGCATCATTGAACTCCAGAACATCTTATCTATCTAGACTCACAGTCTTGTCTGTCATATATGGTTTTTCGATAGCGCAAATGGAAGTTCTCAGTCTTTTGTAACTTTGCAGGATGGCCCTCCAAGTGAAAGGAAAATTGTTAAGCTATGTGAATATGCTTCTAGAAACCCCGTTCGGATCCCAAAGGTACAGACTTTCTTCTCAACCTTGAACCTTCTATATCTGATTGATGGGTACATGTAGGCTTAATCTTGCAATCAGCGAGCCAAATGCTGACTGCTGAACATTTTTACTGTTTATTGTTTTCCATAGATCGCAAAATATCTCGAAGAAAGGTGCTACAAGGAGCTAAGATGTGAGCACATCAAGTTCATTAATATTGTTACAGACACTTATAGCAAGTTACTTTGTCTGTGCAAGGAGCAGATGTAAGTGCTAGCTGTATCTATCCTCTTTAACAAAAGTTTGTAACAAAAAAAAAAAGGGACTTTTGATATCAAAGAAATGTTTTCGTTTTTTATTTTTGAAAGAAAAGTTGTGTATGAATTTTGGGGATAACTTTTCAAGTTGTGATATGGTGCCGGACATTTTACTTAAAGATCCTGTTAGTAAATGTTATTTATGTACTTTTTTTTTTCTTGTAGTGTTAAATATCTTTTGCACTTTGCAGGGCTTACTTTGCTGTTAGTTTATTGAATGTAATTAATGAACTTCTGGACAACTCCAAGCAAGATGCTGTGCGAATTCTTGGATGCCAAACTCTTACAAGGTTCATCTATAGTCAGGTGAATTACAACTTAGCTTTACCCTTCCTTGAAAGATCAATTAGAATTTTGTCACGCCCCAAAACAGGGGTTGGTGACGTGGAGGGTTGTTTAGAAATTAAACATGAATTAAGAAAGTGGTTAAACATTTAATAATGTTAAATCAGTTCCAAAGATAAAAACATTAAAAGAATTTCCAAACAAACTCCACTATTTTAAGGAAATTAAGTTTACAAAGAGTGAGGTGGATTTTCTCAAACAAAACAAGTTTCAAACCCAGCCTCTGGCATCCCATTAGGATCCTCCACAGGAAAATCCATTTTGTACATACATAAACAAAACAGAAAAGTAATATACTGACATCAACCACAGTCTAGTAGAATTTAAGGTTACAAACCATAATTTATACATGTCTTTGTAATAAGCGGAAAGGAAGGGAGTAAATTACAAATTCTTCTCTTCTGGGGATCGTGCTAGCGTCACCAATAGTCACTATCTACTCGGCACTACTCCTAGCGTCGCCTGAGAAGAATTTAAAACATTGAAAACTGAATAAACAGTGAGCGAAATGCCTAGTAGGATATAATTTCATAAAACTTTATAAATTTTAAAGAGAACACGGTCCGAATGTATTATTCGGAACCCAAAACATCCTTTAAATGAAAGGAAATAATCATAAATCTCAAGTTTCATGTTCAGGTAAGTGATAGGAACTTGTTTGTTGGTCAGAGAAGTTAGTAGTTTGTTAGAAAGGATGTTATTAGTTAGTTATTGTGGGCTTTAGTTGGTGAGGGAATTAGTTAGAGAAGGCAGGGGATATTAAAAGGGGGGTTCGGGAACGGAGAGAGGGCAGGAAAATACTGGAGTCTTGTTGAGGAAGTCTTGGCTTAGGCTGAGCAAGGGGAGGTTTAGCAGTACCTCGAATCACTGCATTGTAATTCATTCTTTCATTCAGTAAAGATTCATCTTTCTCTTCTCAATTCTTCTCATTTCTTGAGAATTGTCTTAGATCTTATCAGTAAGTAATTTATAAGATTATGCTGAATCACTTACCTTATCGCAAAGCCATGATATCACCACCAAAGTGGCCCGTACGGGTTTCGGGACCTGCCCCCAAGAATATGATCTCCATTACCCGATCTCTAAGCCATCATGCGTTTACCATTTCTTAAATAGGGTTATCAATGATATGGACAAGAATATCCTACCTCTTGGCAATTTAGTGTACGGATAACTTCACGTTGTCCAACCGTCTATTCTTGAAGCTTGACGTCCAATCGTGCTGCTAGTTCGCCATCAAAACAATGTTTTAGAATTGAGATCTCACCTTTAAAACGAATCTAGTTCAATTATGTACAATTGTTTCCTATTAGTGTGCCTTGACTCAACTCTAAAGTTTATAAACAACTTAATAATCCAAGTTTTTTTTTTTTCTGCAACTTTGCTGCAGCAAAGTGTAGTAGAGTGCAGCAAGGTGCAGCCAAAACAGCGAGAACAATACCAAAACTCGCATTTTCAAGTTGATTTCAAGATAAATTCATGGGAAATTGCTAAAACTAGTTTCCAAACACTTCAATATACTCAAGAAATGAAAACTCCCAAATTCAACTTAAATTCAACCACAATTTGTCCAAATCTAAACCTAAATCAAAATTCATCCAATCTTTAACCAAAATCATACTTCTTTAAACCAAGAATTCAAATACAAGAGTGGGTTTCTCAAGAAATTTTACCTCAAACTGATTGAAGGAGCCTGTTTTGTTTTGTTTTGTTTTTTTTTTCTTCTTGCTGCTGAAGAAAATGAGGGAAACATATAAAGGGAAAAGGAAAAGTAAGTGTATTTTCAAAACTGAAAGTAATTAAAATTTTTAATGACATGATTAATTAAGGAGACGTTTGGTTTATGGATTAGAATCATGAGATTAGAACCTTTTTTGATTTACGTGTGTTTTTTGGAGAGAACTGTAGCGAACCATAATTCGAATCAGGTTACGAATCCTCCAACCAAACAAACCCTAAAAAAAATCAATATTAGGCACACTAATATATCACAATTAACATAATTAAACCTACTTAATTCTTCCGGTTGTTACAAATTTACTTAACAAGACAACAAGTTAAACGACAGTTTGATCCGAATTTATGACAAAAATGGATAATCATTGTAAATTATGCAGTGCAGCTAATGATATCCCAAAAGTTGCCCTGCATAGAATGAATTGTTGATGTTGGAAGATTTATGTAGTTTTTATTTTAGATTATTAGTGTTTTCTTTTGTTGTTAGTAGATATTTGTCGTCATTGATTTCTATCATGAGCTTATGTTCAATGGCCTGATGTATGAACAGGCAGATGGAACTTACACACACAACATTGAGAGTTTCGTACATAAAGTATGCCTGCTGGCCCGTGAAAGAGGTGGCGACCATCAAAGGCACAGCTTGAGGGCATCAAGCTTGCAGTGTCTTTCTGCCATGGTAATTTTATTTTTTGACCATAAAGTTCTTTACCTTTTGTTTTTTAGGCTTTTAATCTGATTGGGGGACTTGGGTGTTGTGTATTTCACACGTCTGTTCTTTGGCAGGTGTGGTTCATGGCAGAATTCTCTAATATTTTTGTTGATTTTGATGAGGTCAGTTATTTGAGGTTATGTTTGAACTTTGAAGCCGTTATTTGTTTTTTTTATGTCTGCACATTTTAAATTTTACAGCCCAAAATTATATTAGTCTTCTGTAAATCTCATTAAAAATGAGACTCAGTATCTCATTATGATATTTTCTGCTTGCGTTTTTTGAGAAGTAAAGCACACATCTGAATGAAGGACCAAAATTAAAACAAAAAAATTGAATCTCGTTTATGTATGTATGCATACATGCATGCAGACACACACACATATATATATATATATTTGTAAATCTCTATAATTCAAAATGATCGCCTTTCTAAGCTGTATTTTATTTATATTCCTTAAATGTCCATTTTTACAATTATCTTGTTCAAAGTTCATTTAACAAGTGGTTCTTATATGGTGCAGATTGTACATGTCATCTTAGATAACTATGAGCCAGATACCCATGGCGAAGAAGATGATGAGAGAGCAGAATCACGTCGTAATTGGGTGGATGAAGTAGTTCGAAGTGAAGGCAGAATTGGTGCAATTGTTGGTAGTGATACCAGCCCTTGCAACATCATTAGGGCACGACCAGAGATTAAGGATCCTTCTCTTTTATTGAGGTAACCATCTTTGAAAACCTACAAATACAGCTTGTTTTTCGATCATTCAGTTGAAAAACTTTCTAAGAATCTTAGTTCCTGTGTTTTTTTCTTCTTTTTTCAGAGAAGAAATAGAGATGCCAAAGGTATGGGCTCAGATTTGTATTCAGAGAATGGTTGAGTTATCCAAGGAGAGCACAACAATGCGCCGAGTATTGGACCCAATGTTCGTCTACTTTGACTCTGGCCGTCACTGGGTTTCTGGGCAGGGGCTGGCCATGGTGGTTTTGTCGGATATGTCCTACTTCATGGAGAACTCTGGTAAGTTGATTTTTCCACCTAATTTTATGCATGCACTTTACTCCTAAATTTTGGTCATCATCACTGATGTCAATTTCTGTTTCAGCGAACCAGCAGTTGATTTTAACTTATGTGATCCGACATCTTGACCACAAAAACATTTCTCATGATCCTGAACTCAAATCTTATGCGGTCCAAGTCGCTACTGCTTTAGCTAGGCAAATCAGATCGGGAGCAATGCTGGCAGAAATTGGGTTTGTCTCTGATCTTTGTAGGCATCTAAGGAAGAGCCTTCAAGCCACTCTTCAGCCTGTTGGAGAGCAAGAGTCCAACTTGAATGTCATGCTCCAGAATTCCATTGAAGATTGCTTACTTGAAATTGCAAAAAAGGTCATTTTGATGCTTTTTAGGTACCTGTAGATAAGTTCTCATTCTTTTTTTCACTGTGCTTGTAGCCGCTTAATGCCTGTCGTCTTTTTGTTACTAGATTGGCAATGCACAGCCACTATTTGACCTGATGGCTATAACTTTGGAGAAGCTGCCATCAGCAGGAACAGTTGCTAGGTCGACCATTGGATCGTTGATACTTCTCGCGCATTCAATCTCATTGGCCTTGGTTTCTTCACGTACACAACAGGTGAGAAGAGTTTGGTACTATTACAGTGATTTTATTTTATTTTATTATTATTATTATTATTATTATTTTTTGTGTTGCAATTATATGTTTGTGCATTGAAGACTTTCGTAATCTTTTATTGAATTCTCACAACTTTGCAATTGAATGGAACATATAAACCATTTTGTACTGTTTTCATATAGGTATTTCCGGAATCTCTTCTTGTCCAACTTTTAAAGGTGATGTTACATCCGGATATTGAAGTGCGTGTAGGAGCACACCAAATATTTTCTATTCTTCTTGTTCCAAGTTCTAATCGTCCATGGCATGAAGTTGCTTCTCTGCGATCTGGCTTTCTATACCAATCAAGAAGATGGCACTCTAGTACTGCATCTGCGTTTGCTTCAATTACGGCTAGACTTGAAAAGCTCCGTAGGGAGAAGGATGGTGCCAAAGCCGATAAGCACGGGAATAACATTCATGAGGATTCTGAAGAGAGGGACAGTGTGGACGAAGTCTGCAAGCAGGGACGTGGCTGCAAGAATTCCCCTAACTTTTACAAGATTAGTTCCATCATTGACAGAAAAGCCAGTTCAATTGGTTTTAATGAGGCGGTGAGCAATTCTCTTTTTTTATGAAATCATAACCGGCCAGTCTCTGTGGATTTCTCTAGTTCTAGCTTATAATTTTTTGTGGTTTGTTGATTGGCTCAGGAACCTTTTGTCATGAGGCTTAGTGAGGATCAATTAGCACACTTGCTGTCTGCTTTTTGGATACAAGCCACTCTTTCAGATAATCTTCCTGCAAATATTGAAGCCATATCGCATTCTTTCATTTTAACAATTATTTCATCACGATTAAAGGTAATATATTAGAGATATATTTATATTACCTGCCTTGCCATCTTTCATTTTCTTTTCTTGCATTATATTTCTTCACACCCTGCTCATAGTTAAACGAGCAAGAGCATGTTGACTTCACAACTAAATAATTTATTGCTTAGGATCTAGTTTAAAAGTTCAAGCTTCCATTTCATACAAATTAATAGGAAATAGCTGCCTTTTTTTTTTTTTTTTTTTCCAATTATGCACCAAAACTCATCCAATTTCTGTTTTGTTAATTCTGGTGAAAATTGTCAGGAGGATGACCCTATATTCTTTGGCACACCCATTGTGCTTCAACTGATATAACACGATCTCTTGTTTTATACATGTGTGCATGTGTTCCACAAAATGGCTCTTCAGCTAATCACTTATGAGTTCTCTAATTTGTAAATATTGCAGAATCCAAATGACCACCTTGTGGTCCAATTATTTCAGCTTCTTCTGTCTCTCAGGAATGCATCTCTCGATCCTAACAATGGTATGTTTGGTGAAATTCCTTGGTATTTCAATTTTGAGAAAATCTATATCTTTTAGTCAGTATCTCTCTATCTCTTAACAGGGATGTTGCCTCCAGCATGCCAGAGATCTGTTCTTGTTCTATCAATGGGCGTGTTGATGTTTGCAGCTAAAATCTATCACATTACTGATCTGAATGATTTTCTCAAGTCACTAATTCCACATGATGTGAGTAATATCACTTTTTTTTCGGTGATTAAATTTCCTGATTTTGTCAAGTGTATAATCACTGATTTTTCAAGTAACTACTTTAGTATTACATTAACTGCACTCAGATAACTTATTTTTTAACCTCCATATACCATGCAGGATGCCTCACCTCCCCGAGGTTATGAGTTTACCACCCTCTATGCGTACACATAATATTAAAAAAAGAAGTAGTTTTAACCTCTCTTTTTTCCCCTCTTCAAATTCAGGTTGATCCCTATCTTGGCTTTAGTGACGATCTTCAAGTATATGTAAAGCCTGATGCGGATCTAAGAGAATGTGGATCTGCTGCTGATAATCGGCTGGCTACATCAATTCTAATTGAGTTGCGGGACAAAATCTACGAGTCGGAGAATGTTGTAATAGATATCTTAGTTCAGAATCTGACGAAGATTACTAAGGTATGATAATTCTTGAATGACCAATAGAGTTTCAAATTACTAATTGTTTCACTTTCCCTCTCACATGTCTGTTTCTGCTTCTTAAGCTGGAGGCAGGAGATGTTTTAAAGCAACTTTCAGAACCCTTTACAGCTGACGATGCATTCACATTCGGCCCTCGATCAGCACTGGACCTTGATCATGATCAGATGGTTGCTCACTCCAAGGAATCCTTGTCCTTTGATGCGGTATACTTTTTAATTATTCTAGTCTTGCTAACATCTGAATTTTTATGGGAACTTGAAGCGGTGGAATTTAGTCGCATTATTAACTATTGTTACTCAGGATCTTCCAACAAATTCATTGGTTGAGGATGATGCAACAAGTGAGCCATCAGTTGCGGACGTCTCTCGCTTCATTCCCAGAATGACTTCATCTTCATCTGGGTCCCATATTATCAGCATTGGGCAGCTTTTGGAATCAGTAATAACTCCCTTTTCATTTTACCTTTTACTCCTGTCCTGTAACATTGAAATTGTTCCCTCTTGCTTGTATACTGAAGAAGTCCAATTTTAGGCACTTGAGGTTGCCGGGCATGTAGCGGGATCATCTGTCTCCACATCACCGCTCCCATACAATGCCATGACAAGCCAATGCGAAGCCCTCGGAACAGGCACGAGAAAGAAGCTCTCCAATTGGTTGGCCCATGAAAATCATGGCAACAAAGCTGCTGACAAATTCTTTTCAGCATTTCCTGCAGATGTCCGCAAAACCCTACATAAGGTCAGATAGACATTATATGCTTGGCTCTTTCTCGTATCAATTTCGACATCAGAATCTCGAGCGTTAAATCTGAAAGTTGTATAGCTACACTGCTATAAATCAAATTTTCTTGATGTTCATGTAGATAACAAGTGAAGGCGGGCCTGCTCAGGGAGCGGTGTTTGTGCAGGATCCATGGTTATCGATGAGGTTGCCACCTGCTAGTCCCTTTGACAACTTCCTCAAGGCGGCCGGGTGTTAGAAGACTCAACACTTTGTGAAGTGTTTTACTAATAATTTTATACACATTTTACCATGCACCTAACACTTATATGCTTCTGGCTATAACAATTTATTACTCAACAAAATTTTCAACAACACAACAATGTCAAACTGACCCTAAAGGCCATTTATTTTATTTCATATGGTTACTTGACTATTAGATGGTATAATAAGAAACAAATTTATTATATCATTTATCTAAACATAGTTTAGATTTTAATCCTAATTCAAATTACAATTTATTTACATATCTAAACACGGTTCGAGTTACAATTTAAATCATATAATCCAAATCAAATCTTACAATCTAAACGGTAAACTAAACAGGAATTTAATTTATTAAAGTTCTAATTTATAGTATAAATTTGGTTTTTTGGAATTTCATTATTGAAAGACGTTTGCATATTTTCAGTGAAAAAAGATTAAGACGACAATACATTAATTGTTATTGATTCTGCGTTGTCTCAAGTGCCACGATAGATGTGGTAATAATATGAACAAACCAACATTCAAGTATAATTGTGCAAACCAACAAACCCTGGCAAGGAAACAAAGCATGTTTAACATTTAACTATATAGACCAATCATACAAAGAACTATCAAAGAAAGGCATAAGAACAAATTGATGCCACACTTCATCTGAAATTATTTAGTACATCCTAATATTCATAGACAGACACTGTAAAAATAAAAAGGCATCCAAATATTCAACGATATTAATGAAGATGCATTAGAGAAGGCTTGTTTGAATCACGTAAAATTGCACATAACAAAGATTCTAAGAAATGCAAATAGAAAATAGATCATCATTTTACCTCAATCATACAGAGCATGACTTAGCTTTTGTCTTGTAGCATTCAGGTTCTTTCCACATGTGAAATCAGACATCAAATTATCTCTCCTTTTTTCACAAAAAGAAAATATATTAAGGATTTAGTGTCCATAAATAAAAACGAAGACAAAAGTACAATAAACAATGCGAAAGATAGAGCTGAACCTCTAGTTTCAACATTTAAATTAGGTTGCGAGGAGTGTAATTCATGTTTTTCTCTGCCAAGAGAAAAAACAATGTGAAAGACATATCTCTTATCTGTTTAAAAAATAATCAAGGGACGGTTTCTAGTGAATATAAGGAAAAAAAACCTAACCTCCAAAAAGCTCAATGCAACTTCAAGCTTGCTCCCAAATAGATCAAACTAGCTTCCAAAAACCAAATGCCTAACTTCAAGTTCGCACCCGTGGCTGTTGGAGAGATTCACATGGCCAACTTGAACAAATGCTTTGGTTTGCAGAACCCTAAAGTTAGAAGCTGAAGGGTGCTCAACAACGAAAGGGCACCTGGTAGAGTAAGCATGACCAGAAAAAAATTGAGAAAAAGGTAAAATAGAAAGACCAAAAGTTTGAACAGTAATATGTGAGTAAATGAATAGTAAACAAACTCTAATTTATTATATAGTTGCTAGATGAAAGCGCACGTGTGAGTACTAAATTGAATAGTGCAAAATAACCATCCTCTCTTTACAGTTTTCTTACTATTACATTAACTTGAAAAAAATGAAGCTACGTGGGATCATTGAACTGAATTTAATATTAATATATATTTCTTTGATAGTAACCCTTAGTTTGGTAGTGATGTAAATTTTAGAAAAATTACTTTTAGCTGTGCTGAAGGAAAAAGCTGCTATTACAAAAAGTAGCTGAGTGTTTGGTAAACTATAATTATAGTAGCCGTGCTTGTTCTAAAATCAGTGTAATAGCGTTTGGTAAATTATGAGCTTGAATTGTTGTGGATAGTTAAAAATTACGACTATATTATATTATACTATAATATAATATATATAATTACAATATAATATATATTTATTATTATATT